AGCACTTGTTACTAATAGCTTCTTGTTACTACTAGTAAGGCACTTGTTCCTAGTAGCGTTGCACTTGTTACTAATAGCTTCTTGTTTCTACTAGCAAGGCACTTGTTCCTAGTAGCGTGGCACTTGTTACGAATAGCTTCTTGTTACTACTAGTAAGGCACTTGTTCCTAGTAGCGTGGCACTTGTTACTAATAGCTTCTTGTTACTACTAGTGAGGCACTTGTTCCTAGTAGCGTGGCACTTGTTACTAATTCTAATAGCTTCTTGTTACTACTAGTAAGGCACTTGTTCCTAGTAGCGTGGCACTTGTTACTAATAGCTTCTTGTTACTACTAGTAAGGCACTTGTTAAAATACACACCCAAATGTCTGCAAAAATCATTGCACCATATTGTATACCAAGGCTCGGCCATCAAGTAAAGATTCGAATTGGTCATCAGCAAGGGAGCTGGCGTCAAAGAGCCTGTAGAGCTACAGCCTTTGTTAGCTTCACCATGCGTTATATGAAGCTCTTGGTGTTCCAAGAAGTACACTTCAGGCATGGACACCATGGAGAGTTTTTGCCAAGTAGGAGTGCCCAACTGAAGGCATTCCACACGCGTGAGGTTTGAAAGAAATTGCCAACCTGGCTCTCCCACCCACTCGCCACTCACGCAAGTGAAGATCGCAAAGGGGCGTGGACCCTTCCAATCCAATTCATGCTTGGCAAACATGCGAGATGTCGCATTGCAACTGATGGCCACTTGTGAAGCTGCTGGGAACTCATCTGGGAGTGGTACTTTGCGCATACCTTGCTGCGCATAGGAACTGGAGGAGTTGAGGTATTGACATCGGGCACACCGGCCTTGTGATTGACCTGAGATCATTTGTAAAGCATCACAGGCCTCATATTGCTCTTGGAAAACGCAGCTAGGCAAGTCTGACGCTGTCAGGCTGAGCAAGCTGCGGCGTTTGATCTCTTGCCAGCAGACTGTCGGATCTGCGATCCGGCAAAAGTTTCCCTCTGGCGGTCTTCCATACAAGGTGTTTTCGATTTGCACATCGATTCTTTGTACATAATCGCACCGCTGAAACAACACACAATACCCTGAAGCTGTTTCATACTGATAAAACTGACATGCGGAGTCTCCACGACAATCCTTTGCACAGTCTTCTAGGGTGGTGGACCGGATCTCATCGAGTCTGGCATTCTTCTCGCACGTGAAGGCTCCGGTGAAGATCAGCTGATCTGGTAGTGATCCATTGTTGAAGCTGGCGGCTGTCCGGGGTACTGCTTCATTGGATGAATCCTGGACAGGAGCTGCTTCTGCATGAGCTTCTCCAAAACACTCACAGGCTTGAAGAGAATATAGTGTGATGTCCTGGCACGTCGGGACATTGAAATGATCAAGCGGGTGATTGGTTGAGTGGATGAATGCAGAAATTCAGGAGACGTCTCCTTTTTGAGTCACACTGGCGCCCAAGTTCGATGTTTGTCTGTGATTTGACTTTGTATAAACAGTTCTTGCTGGCGGTATTCTCAGTTCTCGTTTTCTGGCATTTGTAAAGATGTGGCGGGGTAATGCCATGTGTTTGGATTTCACTGGTTCTCACTTTTGTGAAAATCAAGGACCATGAAACCATTTTTGTTTGCTTTGCGCTGTCGTTGGTTTACATCCCGTGTCTTCATCTCAGTCAGTTTGGTCAGGTGGACGTTTGTTTTTGGTGGACGTTTTGCGCATGGATGGATTCTCTTGTTAGTGTCTTCTTGGGCTTCTTGCAGTGACTAGGTGGTGAGGGCTTGCTGGGCTACGGTGAAAGAAGAGGTTTCGGCGCCGGGGGGGCAGTAGGGCACCTCCCATCTGCTCCAAACCCCGGTGCCAGCTTGGCGCCCCCATCCCCCTACTGACCAAGGACAGCAACCAAGCCTTGAGAAAGAATACCAAGCAGCTTTGAACGAGATGGCAAAAGCCCGGTCGTCTGGACTGGCTCTTTTGAATATGCAAACAGAGCTACGTCTTGCAGGCCTTGTAGACCGCAGCGCACTGTCTCAGCGGGACCAATTACAACAATCACTCAGCACTGGGAAAGCTAGCATCTGAGCACTGAAAAAGAATAGTTGTGCCAACCGCATGTTGAAGCACTTTTGGACATGCGCAGTAGAAAATCAAGCACTTTACACACGAAGCAGAATAATGTCAGGCGCCTGAAAGCGCCTACACAATACATGGATGGATGGGGGCAGATTCAGGGACATAAAAGCTAAGTGCAAGGAAACACCACCGTTTGAAGCTCGTAACGTGCTTCTTACTAAGGCCGCCTGCAGGTGTGCACGTCTCCTTTCCGCTTTTGCCGGTCGGTGTTGGGTGATGCGATGACCTTGTACGTTCCGGGCAGTCTTCTTCGTGTTACTGGGGCTGGGGAACCCCACGGAGATGGCTCGATGGGAACCTTCTTGGTTGCTGAAGGTTTGTTTCGATTGGTTCCTTGGTTGGATTGTTTGTTCTTCTTCAGTGTCTTTTAATTGCCCTTAGGGGTATACGTCCTGAATATGACTATGAAGACCAAAACTTGAAATCATGTTGTATGATCACAGGTCTGCGAAAACACAAGAAAGAAGGGAAGACAGGAGCATCCAGTCAGTCTGATGAAGGGCATGCTGGCTGTGAATGATGGGGATCCACTCTGTGCAAATGTGAAGCCAGAAGTCAGACCAACCTAATAGTGATGGCCTCCAACCTACTAGCGCTGGCCTTGACAGTTCACGTCTTCCAAAGGTCAAAACGTTCTAAAACAAGGCCGGCCTGCAAGGACGGGCCTCTCTTCCCAACGGAAGTGCAGAAAGGATCAGACAGGTCTAGAAGCCCACTCAAACAACAGAAAACAAAAAACCAGAAAGATAACAAAGAATCTGTCATCTCTTCTTTCCTTATCCCTTAGATGTCCCTTTTTCGTTCATTCTTTGTACCGCTACAAACCTCTTTCATGTCCTTTCCTTCAGACTCGACACTGCGACACACGTCGAAACTTCGACCCGCTTCCTCCGGTTGGCCGATGAAGACCTGCTCCACACCGACGTCGACGAAGCTCGGCTTTGCGCAGGACGGAACGCTGAGTTTCAACGTCGCATTTTGCTGAGCACTTGGTTTCTCCAAAAGAGCACTGTCATTCAGCTCCGCTGCAGAGAAATTCAGCTGAAACGTCACTTCACCACTTTGAAAGGATGCCCTCACGACATCTCGGTTGATGCAAGCTATCTCTGCACCAAAATATTCTGGCGCATTGGTGTCTCCGTCTTTGTAGTCTGATGTATTGATGTGCAGAAGTAACCATGTGGCATTGCGACCTGAGCGATGTGTACGTGTCATGCAAGGTCGCGCGCAGCCTATGAATCAGTTTCTCGGCCTCCAACCGATCCATCAACCTCCCTTACTTCCCTTGACATCCTTAATCCGGCCAAAGGAGTGACTGTGCTGTTGTTGCTGTTGCTGTTGTTGTTGATAGAAATTCCTGTTGTGGCCTATAGTTATGCCATGCTAGGCTCAGGCGTGATCAGCAGAGGTATGGCTGATTGTGGTAGACTTTGCGTTAAAGAAGGGCCTCTTCGCGGGTTTTCCATACAGCTTGTCTACTCCGCACTATCTGCACCACGATGCTGTATGAATCCCTTTCCTAAATCATCTCCAACTTTGAACTGGTTAAGTCCCAGCATCAAAGCAGGCATGTGGCGCAAAGTCCATGACACCTACATTAGTCATTAGTCCACAGTAACAAATAAAAGTTAGTATTAAAGGGGCATCGTGCAGGCATGATGCCTGTTCTCAAATATAGCCAAATATTGAAAAACACACTATCTAGATACCTGCCACCAATGAGTCGGCTGAAGATGCACGAACGAAAGTAAGGCTACGTTTGGTGAGAGAAACTGTTTTGGGCCTTTGATAGGGATTCTTGCAGGGCTTGGATGGGCGTCCTCCCTTCAAAACAACCAGGTTCAATCTGTTGGACAAAGGCGAGAAATTGTAGAGCTGGTTCTCTCGGCAACAAATTGGCCGTCATGGTACAAGTCATGTAGCTATAGTAGCAGCAGCTGTAGTGCTAAGATTTCGCTGTGATCTTTTGGATGTGAAGATTTGCAAACTCAACGTTCAACATGTCTTCTTGAGGTTTGGCTGGCTTGAAGAAACAATTTGGGGCGTGGGTTCATGGGCAATAATTACTAGTGAATATTATACACACTTAAAACACCTTGAAAAGTGTAGCATCAAACACCAAGCTGTAGCATGAGAACTCTTGATCAATCCCTTGCAGTCTTTCTTTTCGCGCTGCCTTTCACAGTGTCATCGAAAAAGGAAGACAGCGATGACTGAAGACCGGTTGCAACCAATACGTTGGTAGGGGCATGCGAAAACCAATGGCGCTGTGGCACTGTAGGCGCTGTGGGAGTGGTCTGGCGCCCCGGCACTGGCCCGCAGAAGGGCCTCGCGCAAATGAGGACTCGCTTCTCACAATTTCCAGCTTCGCCGCTCCAGTCGTATTTCTTGACCTTCTCTCCCCCGCAACGAAGGATTGACACCCTGCAGGTTAGTTTGAATGGAAGTTCAAGTTGATATGCTGCACTGACATGTGTGAATTTCAGCTGTTGTAGCCAGGGTGTATTGCGTACAGTTGATGCACCGTCGCTGCTGTTTCGGCTGAACAGGGCCCTTGAGCTGATTCGCTGCTGCGAAAAGGAACTGTGCGAGATTCAAACTGGTAGCGGAGCAGGTTCTGAAGGGGCACCCTCAGGATCTGACTCACCCGGGGAGACTCGCTGGATCCAACCGTTGAACCCAATTGCGTGACCCTGCGCACAATCCGTCGAACCGTTGTAATTCCAGTGCTTTGCGAAACTTGTTGAGTTGCGATGTCGCTGGCTGGCCTGCGGTACACATCCCATGGAGGAAGTATCTCAGGACCACAGGAGACGAAGAGCGGATCATACATCTACAGTGGCAATCCAAATGGTTTCTTCGAATGGGAATTTCGCACCAAGGTCCGCGTTGCTTTGCACAAGCAGAAACATGCGAAGAAGAAGTCAGAGAAGACCTATTCGAGTCCTGGAAGCCAATCAGCCACACCAGAACGTTCTCAGAGGAGGCCGACTTATGCGACCGAAGCTGGGGATGTATCAGAGGATGACGAGGCACGATTTGAAGCTTTTGGAACCCCGAAGTCCGAGAGCGTGGTAGGAGAGGAAGAACCAGCTCTGAGCACTGCCGGACTGGATGATGATGGAGCAGAGTATGCAACACTTGTCCACAAGGTGTTGGAAGGTCTGAGAGGTGATGCATACCTCACAGCTCAAGACATGGGATTGGAGAAGTTGTTGACTCCAACTGGCATTGATGAGTTGATATCGCGTATCCGTGCACAAGTTTTTCCACTTCGACAACAAGAAGCACGAGAGTTGTTCAGAGTGGGTCAACTCCCACATGGTCCCTTGTCTCGCCAAACGACAGAAAGCATGACTAGCTACATTTCACGAAGACGTCGTTGGTGGAGGAAGCTTTTGGAGATGGATGATGGGGTAAGTCTTTCAGACCCCATGCGTGGTGAGCTACTTCTGGAAGGTTCTGGCTTGAGCAAGACAGAACAGCTCATGATCAAGACAGCTGCAGGCGACAACCAATCCTTTGACGTCTACGCCAAGTTCTTGCTTGAATTCCATGGACAAATTCACTTGCGCAGCTGGTCCGCTTTTGGTAACACGAGCCCTCGGAGGCAGAAAGGCGGAGGCAAGTTTTCAGGCAAGTCTTCCTACAAAGGAGGAAAAGGGCGCAGTTGGCAAAGATCTGCGTACATTGTTGAAGATGACTCTTGGGACTATGAAGATTCCTATGAAGCAGAAGCAGAGGACGACTATGAGCATGAAGCTTATGTCGCAGCAGAAGATGAAGAACCAGGTGATGAAGAACATGAAGACTATATCGAAGACCCTGAAGTTGCCACAGCGTTGATGGCAATGGGAGAATGTGATGATGAAGAGAACGATGTCTCAGAGGAACTGGGCAGCGCAGCCCAGCATCAAATGATGGCCTTTGTCGTGACTGACCAGTTGAAGGGCAAAAGCAAAGGCAAAGGTAAAGGTTCAGGAAAGAAAGGTGGAAAGAGCAAGGGGAAAGGCAAGTATGTGTTCAAGACACAGTTGAGCGTGCAGGACAGGATTGCACGTCTAGCAAAGTTGAAGTCAGTGTCCAAATGCTTGCGTTGTGGAGGAAAAGGACATTGGGCAGGAGACCCAGCTTGCAAGTTCCCCAAGCAGAACGACAAGTCCCCTGGAGGAACGTCGTCGACGAGTAAAGCCACAGCCTATTTTGCATTGAGTGATGATGAGTCTTCTGTTGAAGGTGAATACATGTGTGTTGATGTCAGTGGTCAAACTGTCGAAAATGGTACGTGCTACATGGCCTACAAAATGTCCCCAAAGAAGAAGCTTGAGTTCGAACCGTCAGACCGTGCATCCATGTCGTCAGGAGTGACCAGCAGTCCACCGTCTAGCTTTTCGATGGTCGAGCCAAATGTCCGTCGGTCACCGCAGAAGTCCCCGCCGGTCACGCGTAGGAAGAAGGACATGGAACAGGACTTGTTGCCTGAAGGTTCGCAGAATGTCTTTGTGTTTGGTCAGCATCAAGGTTTGACATATCATGAAGTGTTGTTCAAATATCCTGGATACTATCAATGGGGATCAGGCATTTCGCACCCTTCGCGTTGTTTGGCAGATTTTCTGACCTGGGTGACCACGTACTATGAAGTCAGTCAGGACGGAGACGTAAGCCTGAGAGAGCATCCATTGACAGATGTGCCAGTAGAGGCAATTCGACGTACTGGAGACAAGAGTGCCAAGGGAAAACCACCAAACCCCCCGCTAGAGGAATCATGTCGTCGTTGCACCAGATTCACATTTCAAGGTTCAAATGCCTATGTTGAGAACAAGACATGCCTTGACTGCGGAAGGAATGAAAGAAAGAAGAAAGAAAGCAAACCTTCGGCCGACCCCGCAAAGTGCAAGCATGAGGTTACAGATCGTCGAGGCAGTTCGAAAACCACGTCTCGTTGGTACTGCAAGTTGTGTGGAACCACTGTTGACGAGATGCCCCGAGAAGAGGCGCGCAAGAGAGAGGCAATGGCAAAGAGTATGGTAGGCATGCGCACCAATGCATTCGACACGACAGCATCCATGATTGAGAATGAAATCAACGATGCATGCGTGTCAGCTGAAGGAACTCTAGAGGTCATGGAGATGTTTCGACAAGAGGTTGAGTGTGAGTTAGAATTTGGAGAACCTGTGAGGGTTGGCGTCCTGTTCGAGATCCTTGCCAATGCCGTGGAGGTCATCAGAGAGGCCGCACCGGAAACTTGCTACATGGGACTGTTGTCGGATCTCAACGAAGCTACAATTGAAAACACACTTTGTCTTGTTGACATCATGGGCTGTGTTGGATGAAGGATGTAATGCAACTGTGTGTGGACAAGCATGGATCCAAAACGCCAAAGACAAGTATGCACGTCTTGGGTATGATGTAGCTGATTTGCAGTGTGACTCAAAAGCTTTCCGAGGACTCGCCGGAGACACCAAAACTTTGGGCAAGTGTCGAATTCCATTTGCTTTGACCTTTTTGGACCCCGAGACGAAACTTCCGGGAGTCATGGAAACGCATGTTGTCGATGGGAAGATTCCATTGCTTTTGTCACAGCATGCTCAAGCTGCATTGCATTTCACGAAATCTATGGGTGATGCCAAGTGTTATGTAGGAAATGCAGAACTTGAACTGTGCAGAGCTAGGAACTCAGGACTCCTATGTGTGAATCTCTCAGAAGGCCTCAAGAGCCTAAAGTCCAAGAGACTCCCAAAGCAACTTCGAGAACTTAAGAACACGGATTATGGCATGAGCTTCAACATTCGTCCATCAGATCAGTTGACTGCATTCATGGCTGACGAAGAGCGCCCGACTAGAGGCACTTTCACGCTGGATGACCCTGCTTGTGTGCATGTCCTGACATGTGGAAAGGAGTTCAATGGCCAGATTGCAAGCTTTGATCGCAGCAAGAGCTTGATTACATTGGGACCCATCTTGGCGCAATTTGACCCCGGGAGGCGATTGTTGATCTTTGACTGCGTGGGATTTGGAGATCCTCAACACGACCCGCAGTTGCGATCTCACGTCGGTACACATCCGGAAATCATTCGAGGGATGACTGGCAGCGAGAAGACGATGGAAGCATTGCTATATGGACTTCATCACCTGAAGGCTTGCCATGAAAAGGGACAACAGCTGGCTGTCATAGCCTACTGCAGGCGGAACA